AGTGAATAGTTTACAGATGCATACTTATCCCTTGGCAGCGTTTCACAATATTTATGTACAAGACTGACACTAGAATCTGCAGTGACTGAAGCTCCAGTGGAGTCCACAGTATATACATTTGTTTGCTCCAAAGGACATGCTTTCAAAATGCATGCTTCAGGATCTCTTTTCATAGCTGTATCTGTCATCAAAAACTCACTCCTGACAATCTCATATAGTTGATCCCTTTGTTTCTTGTTTCCCCTGTACTTTATGAATATTCAGAAAATAAGTACACTTGATAAACGCACAATAGGGACACCTATAGAGAAAATCTTCTACTCACTGAACAATCACACTATATATATCCACTTCCCATATGCTGATAAAGTGAAACAATAAAGACATGGCCTCACCTCTCCAGCATTGTGATGAACTGAGAGTTATCTTGCCGAGCCCGTCCCCTCGACTGGACGTAACTACGAACTGTCTTTGGCAGGTCAAAACGTACCACACAGGAGCAGCTCGGAACATGAATTCCCTCCTCAACTACATCGGTAGCAAATAATAAATTGACCTATCCAGAAGGGGTCAACTGAGTATCAGGTTTCCAATGTCAAAACTTCTCATGAATCAGTTCCTTTCCTACAATATAAAAGATCATATACCTCCCCAGAGCAGAATAACTCCAATGTCTCCCTTTGTATTTTTGGCGCCAGAGAGTCAACTGATGTAGTGCTTCCAGTCAAATAGGAAACCGTAAAATGAGACAAAGAAGTAACCTTCTTCATGAATCTTTCAATCACTTTAGCCGTGATGATTCTATCAACAAATATGAGGCACCGCACTTCCCTAGATCTTCTGCAATAAAAAATTATGGATGATAAGCAACTTTGCAATGATATAAAAAATTTGACCAACAAAGTTATTGTCTTACCCAAAAGAACGAAAAATTTGAACAAGTTCATTTAATTTTGGAGATACGTAGCCCACATCTACTGCCTTCAAATGGTCAAACCCGAAATCCAAGAAATTTTCAGAACCTGACGAGAGAAGGAAATAATAGCTCATTTTACTAAAACAGAATTGAAAGTTATAGGCATCATCAAAACTATATGGTGACAAAAAGTATGTTGGCAAAATAAGGCATTATTCATCTACTCTCAAGCATCTCAACGATAAAACACTATCAGAAATGAGCAAAGTGTTAAGTCCTTATTAATTTGAACAGATAACAAAGTGTCAGAAAAGATAAAGAGAGACGGAGAGAAAGACATGATATAAATATATATATATATATATATATATATAGAGAGAGAGAGAGAGAGAGAGAGAGATTTCACTACATTATTAACAGCCGATTTTTAATACATAAAGTTAGACCTGAGTGGCATAGAAGTTGATAAAAGAGTTATGATAGATAGCTACAGAATTGCATACCATGCAGAAACGATTCCCTAATTATACCAAACACTTCCTCAAGAAAACGTCTGCACTGCAAAGAGCCCTCTCTATAAAGTTCACACGCCTTCGCGCATTTCGGAGCATTCTCTAAACAGATCTTAACAGCCTACAAGAGAATAAGGTTATATATTCTCATAATTAGAACCAGAAGGAAAGACCATAAAGAAACTAGAATTGGAGAAGACCAAAGTGACCTTTCTGCTGCATTACCATCTTAAGATATATCTGAGACTCTCAGTACATGGCTATATAAGAGTGCTTATAATCAGAGTCATAAAAAGCAAAAAGCCTCAATAATGTGTCACAGGCTAACAGCATGTGTATCAGAAGTAACTATTTGGCGTGACCTGAAGCTCATTAAGGTTCACCATCATGCAGTTAGACCTGCTTGAATTTGTATAAAAGTCTGAGGGTGACTATCAATCGGTTGTTTATTTCCTAGAAAAACCACCCTTCATCCATGCATTATACTTAGTCATACCTCGTAAGTACATATGAGACCAAGCTCGTCAAGGCAATACAAGATCTTTGTGTAGTCATTAGACATTCGTTTCTGCAATGTCTTAATTTTATCATCCATGTCACTCAGATTACTTTCTACTGATACCTGCAACTTTGATAATGAAGCATCAACCTGTACATGGAAGTTTTTTTTAGTATTCACACAAGTTTGACACATGAAGTAAGGTAACAATGAACGATAAATTTGTTAACATACATGTACAGCAGAAATACCTTGGACCAAGAGGCTTCCATCTTTTCTTTCAAATCCGAACTCAGAAACCATGCTTGGCCATAAAATCGACAAGTTTCTTTTGCAGAAGGGACACATACTTCCATCTCTGTTATGTCCTCAATAGTATAAATCTGTGTAAGCAAATTTAATGATATTAAAGCATCACCATCAGTAACTGATATATGTATAGTAATCTAAATCACCATCAGTAACTGATATATTTATAGTAATCTAACTGGAATATTTATGTATACCTGAGAATCTAAAATGCTTTCAAGTTCTGATAACTGGCCCTCACAATCCTTGGTGGACGAGACACCTAACACACAATGTTGTATATAAATATGCACATATAAGATTTATAATAACAGTAGGTTTGGACTCAACAATGAACATGAAAAAAAAGCGATTCTCTAGACATACAAAAACCACAGCAACGGGTTGAAAGAAGAGAGAGCACAAATAATAAACAATAGCTATAGATTACCTTTTTTTATAACAGGTGATGCCGTCAAGCCAAAAATCTTTGGCTTATTACCAGACTTGTGATAAAACTCCTTCACCACAACAAACAATTTGTCAAGATGACCCTTGACTATAAAATATATAAAGAAGACGAAATGCATAACAAAAATGAATTGGAAAAAATTCCACCAAAGTGAAATTAACCTTCATTATCTTTGTATAAGGATGGTTTCCAGTAGCCCGATGGCACTCGTCAATAATCATCAAGCATACTGCTTCCAAACTCAAGAATGCCTTTCTTAAGGCATCCAAAAAAATCTGGGGGGTCATAACTAGCACCTAGAGGATAATATATAAAACAAATATGCATTAATTTAATAGCCTCTGCCAAAAATAAAAAATGAGAAAACTATTTTATTACAAGGAATCTAACATGACTATCACAGGTTGAGCATGAATGCAAATCTTTCGAGAATTCTAGCTTACATAGTGTAAGTAAACAATGTAATAATGTCATGTTATTAGTTAGAAAGATAAGAAGGCTCAAATCCTTGGAAAGAAGAGTAAACTGATACAGATTGTGATAGTTTTCAATATTACTCAACAATCAACATGAACCAAAAAGTACACTTAGAACATTACCCTTTTTTACATCTTGTTCTGTGTTATGGATTTATGTACTTAATTAGTTTTTTCTCATTGTCTTGTAATTGCCAATTGGTGGCTTTGTTTCATCCGGTTTTGTTCTCTTGAAACTCTTTAGCTCAATGTGTGATACATTGCAGTGAATCCATAAAAAAGACGAAAACTTTCGACCAAAAAAAAAAAATGAAAACTTACATCATGCTCATTCATTTTCTTTTCCCAGCGCTCCATGGTCCACGAATCAACTCCCAACGCACCATAATACTCTCCTACGTTATAATTTGTGCTTTCTTTAATAACCTTAAATTGCTGCAATCACAAGAACACATAATCCCAATGGGTTACAAGACCACCAACGAGCCACATTGCATAAAAAGCACAAATTTACAGGAACAAAATTAGGAAATAGTACCTGGTGAACAAGATGAACAGTTGGAGCCAAAAAGATGATCAATTTTTTGGCACCACCACTTGAATTATTAGTTTGGCAGCCTTCATAGTCTCTGATGAGCATCACAGCTATCATCGTCTTCCCGGAACCGGTCTCCAGCACCGCTATCGTGTTCCTTCGCCTCGCAACCTCGTACACCTCCGACTGATACCTAAAAATTCAGGCCGGAGAAATTCACATCGTCGAAAACAAGCCTTTAAATTTAGAGAGAGAAAGGATTAGAGAGAGAGAGAGAGAGAGAGAGAGAGAGAGAGAGTGAGAGACCGTCTGGGACTGAAGTTCTTGGAAGATTGCGGTGACTGATCATCATCAGCGGCATGATCGAGTGGGTTGGAATTGGATTCTTCTACTTCCATTCCGTGAAAAGCTCCGTCCTTTGATTCTGACTCGGATTCCAGCCGAGAATGCAATGCCAGACGAAGAGGGGGAGAAGGTGAAGAACACGGAAATAGTGAGCCCAAGCAAAATGGTACTCTCTCTTAAGTGCTTCATCAGAGTAACGTACAGTGGAGAGCTGACACTCTCTGTACTCTCTGTCTCTCTCGCAGCTCTGTGCGGGTTTTGCTAAAATCCGCCAACGGTTACGTAGCGGGAGACGACCTCGTATTAGACGGTGTCGTCTTGTGAGTTAGTGGTGTCCCGTGCTTTAGTTGACAGGACAAGTCGCTCAGGAAATTGTTATGACGGTGACCGCTTTCCAGTGCGGGCCCTCCACAGGATTTGGTGGGAAAATCGGGGACAGAAAACTTCAAAGGATTTTTATTTTATTTTATTTTCAAAGTTCAAAGGATTTTTATTTGTTGCGTCACAAGCATAATATTTTAATCACCTGATGAAGTAAATATTAGTTAAATTAAACGTTTGAGGTATATAATTGAGTTCAAAGAAATTGATGGACATTATGTTTATAAAATCATAAATTGATGGTCCAGTGATATTCTTATTTACTTGTAAGAGGTCTAGGTTCGATTTTCGCTAAAAGCAAATTTAAACAACATTATTGCTAACTCATTGTGAAGTTTAGCCCACTCTCCCATTGATGGATATTATCGTTTATTCAAAAAATAATAATAATAAAACATAGAAATTTTATCGTGACAATAAAATATACAATTGGTTTTGAAATAAATTGATCTTTTGTAAAGATAATCTATAAATAAGAACTTAAAAAATAAACAATTCGAATGGTACGGGTTTCATACGAAATTTGCTTGAAGTGAAGGTGGTCGTACGGAATTTGCAAAACCCTAAAATGTAATGTTCGTAAAGTACTTAAAGAAAACTTGTAATTAATTGATAAACAAACGAATTTTGAATTTATAATGTCACCAGTAATCACCGCAAGAACAAGTTCCATCCTTGAACCGATGGAAGCGATTTGCATCTCTCAAAACAATCTCTCTCTGATAAACCTTTGATATGTATTTCACTGCATTATGGCAATCTCCACAAACTCTCAGGTTTTTTATCACCCGAATGGCGGCCGACGGAGGAGTGCTTATGAGTCCATACGCTATTGCTAGCTTCTCACTGTGGTAGTACAGAGACCGCTCTTTCTCCTCTTCTTCCACATCCACCAGTGCAAACTCCGTATCCGGGACGTACCCTTCTTCCCCGATTCGCTTTATCATCTCCTCCACCTTGTCGTGTATGACATCTGCTTGTGGATGGGATTTATCGTCTACCACAAACAAATGTACCTTGTTCTTCACGTCTATCCAGCTGAAACCGGGTTCTTTCTTTACATTCTGTTTCTGCATCATTGCTCTGGCATCATTTACGACATTCCATTGGTTGGCAGCCGCATAGATGTTGGATAAAAGCACGTAGGCGGAGGAGTCAGATGGCTCCATGGCCAGGAGCTGTGCTGCAACTCGTTTTCCAGTTTCGGTGTCCCCTTTAACTCTACAAGCACCTAGAAGGGCTCTATACATTGAGGCAGAAGCTTCAAAGGGCATTGATGCTATCAGCTTTTCTGCCTCTTGGACTCGACCTGCACGGCCAAGGGCATCAACTAGGCAAGAGTAGTGTTCAATCTCAGGTTCAACACCGTAATCTTTCTGCATTGTAGAAAAATACTCATAAGCTTCGGAAACTAAACCAGAATGGCTGCAAGCAGAAAGGACTCCAATGAAAGTAACTCTATCAGGCTCGATGTTCTTCATTTTCATGACTCTGAAAAGGCTTAGTGCTTCTTCAGCATTTCCGTGCTGAGCTAAACCGACCAACATGGCATTCCACAGGGCGACGTTCCTAACATCCATCCTCCTGAATAAACGATAAGCATCTTCTATGTTGCCACACTTGGCATACATGTCAACAAGTGATGTCGCGACAAAAGGGTCCGAGGAAAAATCCAACTTTATAGCATCAGCGTGTATCTGTTTTCCCTGTTCTAATGCTGTCAAACATGAGCTGGCTTTGACAAGGGTGGCAAAGGTATATTCATCAGGCTCCACTCGTGACTGCCTCATCTGATGGTATATAGAAAGAGAGAGCACTTCATCTCCATTTTCTACACATCCTGAGATCATAGTTGTCCATGCAACACCATCGGGTGCAGGGATGTAATTGAAAACTGTGTGTGCACTTCCCATGTCTCCACATTTGATATACATATCTAGAATTCCGCTGTTAACACATAAATCCAAAACAAACCCTGTTTTATGGCATGAGCATGAATTTGCTTTCCCGGTCCCAAAGCTACCAGGCTACTAGCAGCCTTACCCGCAGTTGTTAAAGATATCTCATCCGGCCTGTGTCCACCTTCGTGCATCATCCTCATAAGGTCCAATGCCTTGTGACAGTCATTACTCATTATGTATCCGAACATCATTGCATTCCAAGACGCCAGATTGAATTTAAGTTTGTTTCCAAGGAGGACCTCTGCATCCTCCATGTTTCCACTTCTAGAATAAACATCAATAAGAGCCGTCGAAACAAAACTGTCAGCAACAATGCCGGATTTTGTAGCATGAACATGAATCTGTTTGCTGGCTGACAACCCTTCTTCAAGCGAGGAGCAAGCCCTTAAAACACTTGCAACAGTAAATTGATCAGGTCTCAAACCATCATGTAATAAGCCCATAAACAAGTTTACCGCTTCCTCTCCTAAACCACTTTGTGCACAACATGATATCATCGAGTTCCAGGAAATTAGGTCCACTTCTTTCATGCGATTGAACACTTTTCTTGAAGAATAAACAGAACCAGCCTTTGAATACATGTTGATAAGGCTATTTGCAACAGAAACAACAGAATCAAAATGTGATTTCAAAGCAATGCCATGAATCTGTTTCCCCAAGTCCAAGTCATTTACACCTGCAACCGCAGACAGAATAACAACTAATGTTACACTGTCAAGCTCTACTTTTGATCTTACAATATCTATAAAACATTCTACAGCAGCCCAATTTTCACCAGCTTTAACATACTCGGACAATGTCTTGTTCCACGAATATATGTCCAAAGATTCCGACTTAGTATCATACAAAAACAATTTCATTGCATATGCTTGAACCTGCTCCATGTGCCTCTTGCCTTCAAAATAATCAATTCTGTCAATCCCACTGAGAACAGAGCGCACACTAACATCATCAGGACGGAATCCACTTCGATGAAAAGCAGAGAAGAAAGAAAGTCCTTCCTCAAGACCCATTTCCACATATGCCTTAAGCATTGTATTCCACAACACCACATCCCTTTCCATCATCCCATCAAACAACACACGGGCAGCCTTAATTCGTCCGAGTTTAGAATATATATTCACAAGAGCACCAGAAACAAACTCATCCCACTCCAATCCAATCTTAACAGCATACCCATGAACCGCCTCCGAAGCCCAAACATGCCCTGAGAGCAAACACAGCTTCAAAACCGGCGCCAAAGTGAGCCGACTGGTAAAAACAACAGATTCACGAAGACGCCGGAAAAGGCCAAGACCCACTTGAACATTGTCAGCATCAGAGCCCGCAGCCTGCGCATAGGCCGCTAGAATGGAGTTCCATGAGACAAGGTCTCGGCCGGGCATTTTATCGAACACGCGGCGTGCGGTTGACAGACACCGGCATTTGGAATACATGGTGATGAGGTTGTTGGTCAAGAAATGACCCGGGTCGTCGCCGGAGGTTATAATCAGCGCGTGAACGCGCTTCCCGAGCGGCAAGTCTGCGGCGGCAATGGCAGCGCGGAGGACGGAGAACCATTGAGAGGAGGAAGAAGAAGACGGGGAGATGGGAGAGGAGTGAGAGAGGGGAGTGGAAAGAGAAGAGAAGGCGAAGAGAGAGAAGAGAGATAGTGGGTGTGGAGAATTGGTGAGGAGGGAAATGGATTTGGGACGGAGGTGGGGTTGCAATTGCATTATCGTTACTTGGTTGCATTGTCTGGTTTTCCCTCCGAAACTCAAGATTCTGGTATTTGTACTTCGGAAGACATAACTCAGAGGTGTCTAAAGTATTTATTTCACGAACATATGCACAAATAAAAAGGGAAGGGAAAATAAGACAAACATATCCCATCACCTACTTAGAGATTTCGAAATCAAGTGCAAGAGGAGCAAGCGCATATCTCATGACCAACCGGACTAACTCATTTGCATACAAGTTACAAACTCTGACTGTTAGATTCATTTTATTGTCTTAATTTAAATTTAAAGGGAATGGAAAATAAGACAAAAGAGTGAGAATAGCAGCACTCAAAATAAAACTCAAACACTCACCAACAATAAAGAAGCACTAAGGTTATCTCCAACCGAAGGCTGCCTAGATGATTAGTTTTAGCCCTCTAACACTCTAAGAAATTAATATTTTAATTAACAGTATCGGGTCATATTTGTCTCCGTCTCCAACCAAGAGCCAAAGGGCCATAGAGCTCGTTTTAGCCCTGTCACAAAAAACCGTCTCCAACTGAGGGTCATAGGGCCAAACATAATTTATTATTTAAAAACTACAACTTAAATTCAAATTCAACGGCTAAGTGACGTCACATGGAGTATGCGTTTAAGTTTTATGTTGTATAATGTTGTTTCATGTTACTTAATTTAATTTAATGTTGTATAATGGCTTAGGAAGTTATAGGAAAAAAAATAGAATTTAAAAAATATATGAAACATAATTTAGAAAAAAAATATAAAACAAATTTTGTAAAATAGAAGTTATAGGAAAAAAATTGTGTAAAAAATAAAATAAAATAAAAAACTGTAAAAAAAAAATTCAAAAATAACGGTTAGCTGACAAGAATGCTAGAATTTCTGGCCTAGCCTAGGGCTGGCTGGATTGGGCCAATCGGTTGGCCCTTTGGCCCTTTCAGATTTCGTGGGGCCCACAAGCTATATGGCCTAACCCTAGGTTGAAAACAGTTTTCGGACTATTTTCGACCTTTTGACCCTCTGAACCCTTCGGTTGGTGATGGCCTAAACCATAATTTGCATACGACTTATTGTCGATTTACTTGCTAGCATCAGTTAATTTCATTGGAGGTATGGTTGTGTCACAACTTAAAACTTTAGAGCTTGGTTGTTTTGTTGTTTTTTTTTTTTTTGATACATCAATATTTTCACACTAAAAAAAAAGAAATTTGGTTAAGCCACTCAATAGACAGCCTAATTTGGTGTCGATTTCGCCATCCACGAGATTCGAATATAAGACATTTCACTTCCAAGTGAAAAGGAATAAAAAATGCCTTAGAAAGGATGTGAAGATTTCGCTTGTCAAGAGGTACATAGCTGACGAAGCCGGTCGAACTCCGGTAAGCCGGGAAAGGAACCGGAAAAGGGAAATTAAAAAACCGCTCCAGATCGATGGGGAAACATGTAGTTTCATTCAGAATGGCACAGGGTATAACTGGCAAGGTGAATTGTTCTATCATGTAATTCAATTCTATCAGTTACATCTGAGGATCAAAAAGGAATTTAACAAAGAAATAAAATTTTAAGATACAAAAAAGGCAAAAGATTTAGGATCATTTTGGCTACAGAAAACGTAATCCCTCGATCAACTACTCCAACTTTTTTTTTTTTCTTTTCGTTTTGTCGGAATTTTTCCCTCTAAATTTCCGATCCTTCTCTTTGTTGTTTTGTTTTTTTCGTTTTTCAGACTTGGACTAAACTTGTTTTCTTCCCATGTACAGATACAAGAATCGCTATGACGACTACGGCTTCACGGACTGTGCTGTGCTAAAAAACTATACCTCACACGTCATCTTCGTGGCTCAGTATAACAGAATTCGGAGCAGCCCTGGCTGTGGTTCAGTGTAGTCAATGCCTTCTTCTTCGAGTAGGTATCGCTGTACAGCTATTGGGAGCCTTGCCGGTGTGCGAGAGCCCCTGGTGTGGTGGCCAGTTCCCACACATATATAAACCAGAATACCAGGCTCTCCTGCTCTGGCAGCGTTCCTCAACACGCTCAGCTCGTGCTTCAGGACATGAAGGGCTTCACTTACATGCAGCCCGTGCAGGTCTATCATCCTCTCTTGTGACCTCCCATTGCCCTGCATCTCTGGAGAAACTGGGTTCCTGTGTTTTCAGAAAACGGTACGCAAGAAGAAAAAAAAAAAAAAAAAAAAAAAAGACAACCAATTAACTTACCAAAAAACAAGAAATAAACATGAAAACTAAGGTCGTTGACGTTGAATGAGGAAATTGGTCAACAGGGTTAACTCCGTTATCAACTCATGCTCAGTATGAGTAAGTAGCACTCTACTCGTCGAGACCCTTGTTCAAGTTGTCTCATACAAACACAGAACATCGATGCTAAGAACCATTCTCAGATCAAAATAACTCCAAATTCAGGAGGTGGTAAAATGTCAAACACGATATTCATATAAAAGGTCGTACCCAGTGCACAAGGCTCCCGCTTTACGCAGGGTCTGGGAGAGGTGAATGTCGGCTAGCCTTACCCCCATTTATGGGAGAGGTAAAATGTCAAACACGATATTCATATATTCCCTAAAATTTCAATCTTATCCAAACGACAAAATTAATACTCAGGGCATCCTCTGCCCAGAGGAACCACAAACAGTGGGGGATAACAAACCTCTGACGATATATAGACTCTTGAGCTTTTTCATGAGCTTCCTTCATATGCATGTTGTGCAGCTGTCCTTTAACGCTCAGCTCCTTTGCTAGAGCCTTGTTTCCAACAAGGTATGCTTGCCGTGCCTGTTTATTAATAGGAACAATCAGGGTAAATTTGGTTTCACAGCAACTTTATGTGAAAATTAGTAGCAGGGATTGGAGTGAACCCACAAATCTTATGTGGCTCAACATTCAACATGCATAGTAGAAAGGAAAAACATGAAACTGCAGTGCCATGCCGGCATGACAGTATCACGTAGGAAAAACACTCCTACAAATACCTATCGGTTATATACACATTTGTTTCAAACCCATGGAAGGTGCACACCCCCCATGTGCTGCTGTGGTTTGTTTCTTGGCCACATATTTTGATTTTCAATGTTGACATCGAACTTAGCCAAACAGCATTGCTGGTCAACTCAAATCACAATAGAAAATTAAATCTACCAAGATGTCCATATGCCGCACCAACACAATTTTTAACCAATTTAAGGCTTCACTGTTAACGTAAAGTAAGAAGGATGTGGCAGAAAGGGACTCGCGTTTACAGAAACAGACCATTTAAGAACATCGAGTACAAACCTGCTCAAAGTATGCATTACGTAGGCGTGCATGGTCCCGAGCTTCATCCCGCAGATCAGAATACATATTTGCTGTCACCTCAACAATGTTAAAAACATATAGATCGGGAGGGATGTCCATAACTAAATAGACATAAACAGAAGTAATTTGGTTGACCAAGGGACATTACCAACTGCATCTCCAGTTTCAAGCCAAACAGGCGCAGTCCGAGGTGAACCACGATTCTGTGACCTGTCGCTGTACATGCCTCTTCCATGTCCAGTACTGTAAGTGCTATTCAAAAGCTGGGAACGTCTGCTTGAGCCAATAGCAGCATCAGCAGAACCGTTTCTCTCATACTTCCATCCAGAATCCTGGGTCGCCAATTTCCTGACAGCTGAAGCAAAATCTATTGCACCTCTAGTAGGAATTGATGAGCTAGACTTGAACAAAAGCATGTTGTCCTTGTCAGAAGATCGATAAGGATTGCCGCTTTGGAAATCATCATCTCCGGCATATTTTGAATGACCATGCTGACCATCTGTTGGTGTAAGTGCAGGGAAGTCCATTGAGCTAAGATCGGGAACTGACAAGGTCTTTGAGTTCAGATTCTCATTAAAACCACCATCAACTTGAAGCTACAATTCAAAACAAAAATATCGCATCAAACACTTCAACTCACACACAATGAAAAGGATATATAGTATATACAGAATTAGCATGAACAGTTTCATAAACATGTTTTCTTAGACTGGATTTTTTGAAAAACACAATATTTAACTTTAAAGAGAACTATTAATTGACAACAATCCAATGTAACAGAAGGCATGCAAGCTGCATTGATTCGAGGCCGAAAACTTATTCTTCAATTCGACTAACAGACAAGCATACCTCCAACTGAGTTAACATCTCAACAGTCAGGTTCAAGTCACAACCATTGGCAAAGTAAACTTCAGCAAGGCTCTGAGCAGAAAAGCCGGGGAACTGTGAAGCCAAAAACTCAGCAGGGTTAATATCCGCACCTTCCACGATTGCATGCTCACCCAACATATCATTCATGAACCCGTGTCTAGACATGCCATCATACGGATACTCCTCCTGACCATTGCTGACAAACTGATTGCTGTTCAGAATCTGCTTATCCCAAGGCTTAGGTGACATATGAAGGAAACTGGCCGATGAAAGATCCTCCCCCCCAAAGGGAGGTGCAGAAGCTCTCAACTTTTCAGAAAAGCTATTGCCATTAATATGTGACTCGTTTAATAAGTATCCACTGCCCGTAGAGGCAGGAAACCGTGTTGCTTCAACATCTTCGTGTAAGGACAAACCCGCTAAAGAGAGGTTCCCAAGGCCTTGCGACTCATCTTCTCCCATGACCTTAAAGTCAGGGGTAATATCATCAGGGAGCTGGTGGCGCCAATATTGGTGCGCCTCATCATCGGAATTATTTGATGTGGAAGATTCTGTTCGATCTAGTACTGCTTTTCCAAATGTTCCAGAAGAAGAACTTTGTTGTGGCCTGAGCTGCGCTGGTGCTTCCAGATGACGGGGATCTGAGGGAAAAGGGAACAAACTCTGCTGCATTGGGATTCAATGCAGTTGCCTTGTTTGCAGTGCTTAGTTTGGTGTCGTTGGTAAAGGATCCTTTCTTGGACAAGCTCATTATTTACGGAAATGGAAATAACTAGAAGTCTACAACAGCTTTGAATAAAAAATCAACTTGATTTACATTAAGCTTCAACCAAACCCTGCAAAACCGTCCATCAAGTGTTATAATTAGTCCATTGACCCCAAACTTCCCCTTCCTGAAAACCAACTCGCAATTCAGCGAGTCCGTCACACTCTGCGAAAAGTTAAGCTATAAAGCAATCGAGAATAATATCAAAACAGGAAGAGAAAATCTACTTCTTTTAAGAATTAAATCATACATATATCACCATTTTCAAATATACAACAAACCTAAATTATTGTTCAGAAAAACATGCTTAAACCCCTAAATTCAATTTGATTAAAAAATCAAACAAAAAAGTTCAATTTTCAGAGCCACAGTATAACACAAAAAATAAAATCTCAGACATTAATTGTATCCAAAGCTCAATTAATTAAGACCTGATTTGGACACTACTACCATTTTCCACTGCAAAATCTAGACAAAAATCAAGATTTAAAAATAAACAATAAATCATGACTACTTAATTACTCAAGCAACCAAATCCCTAATGACTCAAGCAACCAAATTCAATAGATCTCAACAAATTCAACGCCATTAAATATAAAAATAAAATAATAATTAGAGAAACGAAAACAATAAAGCTGCAAAATTGAACAGAAGAAGCTCAAGATCCGATTGAATGAAGTAGCAAGAGTATACCTTTTCGTACCAAATCGAAGGGATCCATCGGCTAAAGATTACACCAACTAAAAAAAAGAGGAGAGAGAAAGTTCGAGAGAGAGAGAGAGAGAGAATCGAAGATTTGGGGGTTTTGTACGGAGAGCTTGGAGAGCTGTGTCTCCTGTATTATCTTCAAGCTTTCAAGGCTACCTCTCTCTCTCTCTCTAGTTTCTCTCTCCTCTCTGTGTTTTTGTTTGAAACCCTCTGTGGGCTAGAAAGATAGAAGAGGAAAAGAAAAGGGCTAATTAGAAATATCACCACTTCCACCACCACAGAAACTTGGAAAGGACAACCCAAACCCTTCGCCACTCGATTTGACCTCTCTCTCTCCACTTCCTCTCTCTATCTCTGTCCAAATTGTACGCATTATTGCTTTTATTTTAATATTTATTTGACGTAATTGGGATTCGGAGGAGGGGATGAGCACAACTTTTTTAGCTCTGTATTTTAGTATTTTTTTTTTCTTTATTGTTAGTGTCAATTTTGAAAAATGGTTAGGACTTTTTTTTCAAGAGACTTGGCAATTCGCGTTTGGTTGTTGGGTTCGTGTTGACACGATACATGAGATTAACCCGACAAAATTATTTTTTTTATGAAAAATTGACTAGTTGGTGGTTTAGGAGTGCATTGTGAAATAAATATTGAAATTCGTTCCTAAACACTGAGTCACATTTTGATGATTAACCTGATTGATTATAAACTATGTTGTTTATTTCAGATCCAACACTCCACGATTTTAACACGTTACATGATAAAGAAATGATGAAACTAAGTTCTATTTTAGCGTGTTATATTTGAGTTGACCCAAAACTAGTTGATGCGATTATGATTTGAGCATAATTATAGTCAACTGAAACCCATTTATTTTTGTCATTTTCTAGTCGAGTTAGGAGGCGTTTGTTTGCCCTCACTAAGTATGACTGAACTAGACTGGACTAAAAGTTAGTGCAATATTGTGTTTGTTGATCACAAGGACTAATATTAGTGGGATTAGGTGGGACTCATCCCGGCTAGAGAGCTCGCTATAGAGTCTTAGCTAGACCCTCCAAAATGAAGTGGACTGCTAAGACCTTCACTTTTCGTGTCGTCTGCTTCATCTGCTCGCATCGTGTCCTCTTCTTGCTCCATGACCTTGCCGTCAAATCCTCACAATCCTTCCCCGCACGAATATTCCTCTCTCTCCCTTGCTCTATCTTTGCACTAACAACCCCACCCACCACCTAAATTCCAAAATTCGATTACCACCCACCGATGGGTCTGCTCGATCCGAGGGTGAAATTGTTGTTGGCGCCACCCACTCCTCTTCTGAAGGTTATCTCCCGTTCTCTATCAAAGTCTCAACGATGGCTACCACCGCCGCATCACCGACTCGGCTGTCTCAAAAGGAGGCTAACATTCAGATGATGTTGGCCGTTGAGGCCATCTAGGCACCAAAAATTGATAAAAAGATGCAAGAATTGTATGCATCAGATCTCCTCCCTAATTTTTCTTAGATTTACTTATTTTTTTGGTAAATATAATATGAAATTTCATATTTTTGAAAATGTTTTGTTTAGTGTGATGGTGTTTAAAATGGTGGGTTCTTTCTAATTTAAGATGAAATGGTCAATTGCATCGTTCGATATACTGGGTTTGCATACACACACACACATATATATTTGGCTGAGTTTGTATAAATGTGTATATTTTTGCTTGATCTGGTATACAACTTTAGCATTATTTGTTCTTGTTGGTACATTTTATATCCTTATTCGCAAAATCCACTTTGATTATTTTTGTGTGAATTTAATTTATTTTGGGAAAATTTTTTATGGTTGCTTTGTTGTGGATGGGTTTTCATAATCATGTTTTTTAGTCTAACACTACACCAAACGCTTCACTAAGCTAGTCCAGTTTAATCTAGTCTAAGTCAATCCAGCTTAATCCCTGCAGCTAGTCAAGTCCGAGACAGTCCGGTGTAACAAACACACCCTTATAGTGTTGAGTACTAAATAGTCATCTCTAGAGTACAGCTTCTAACTTTTTATTATCAAAATATCAATTATTAATTCTCTAAGTACTTGAATTTAAATTCATGTTGGCAAATCTTATTTTATGCTTTAATATATAATTTTATTTGTTGGAATGGTCTTTAAACTAAATAATCAAAGAACTAAATAAAAAGTAATTAATGTCAGCTGGTTAGTTTTTTATTTTATGATAATTGGTGTATTTGGATTTTGACAAGTACATCAAGATACAAAATGTTACATCCCACATCTTCTAGTGGAGTGGATCTTGTAAGCCTCATATTTACATTCTCATCTCTACATAGCACAAGGTCTTTTGGGAGCTCACTAGCTTCGGGTTCCATCAGAACTCCAAAGTTAAGCGAAATTGCGTGAGGGCAATCCTATGATGGGTGATAACAAAACCATGAGGGCATGGACATGGCCCAAAACGGACAATATCGTGCTACGGTGGAGTTGAGCTCGGAATGTGGTGGGGGCTCGAGTTAGGATGTGACAATTTGATATCATAGCTAATCCCTGACCAAATGTGTGCCGACGAGGACTTCGGCTCCCTAAGGGGGTGGATTGTTACATCTCACATCATCCAGGGAAGTGGATGTTGTAAGCTTTATATGTATATTCTCATATCTACCTAGCACGAGGCATTTTGGGAGCTCACTAGCTTCGGGTTTCATCGGAATTCCGAAGTTAAGCAAGATCGCCTGAGAGCAATCACATGATATGTGACCCACTGGGAAGTTCTCATGTAAGTTCCCAGAAACAAAACTGTGAGGACGTGGTCGGGGCCCAAAACAGATAATATCGTGCTACGGTAGAGGGGAACTAGAGTGTGGTGGGGGTTGGAGCCGGATGTGACACAAAACTAGCTAGTCAACAATTGAAATATGCTTTTTAATTATAATGTTTCGACGATAAGAGTTGAGTTAAAAAATACTAGCGGATAGATACGTTTATATTTAGGGTTTTATTAGAAACGATCTTTGAAATTGACCTCCCAAATTAAAATAGAATTTAAAATTGAAAATCGATGGACGAAATCCTTGAATACAGGTGCTGGAAGTTAATGTCATCCTTCCCAAGTATTTACCCCGAAACTAAGCAGTAACAAATTGACGAAACATATACGAAAGGCCCGAAACTGAACCCGAAATCCAAATCCACTGAGAAATTTAACGCGCCCCAAAACACGCAAAACTGATTCGGGAATTGGGAATCCAAAAATCAGGAATCCAAACCCGAGAAGTGTTCGGTTTCGGAGTCCAAATCCGAAAAGTGTTCTGTTTCGGCTCCGAAACAGTTCACGATAAATGCAGAGCCAATCAAGCCACTCTGCAAATTCTCACATTAAAATTTTCAAGTCTCTGAGATAATCTCGCCGTAACGTAAAAAATCGCGTAGGAAAATTTTCAAACTTTCAAATTTCGCATTGATTAATTACATAATTAAAACTTTAAAATTGTTTGATTGCTGCTTGTTCAAATTCCCAATTTTTTTTTTCTATCGAGAGCATTTGTTGTTATGGAGTCGGCGGAGGCGAAACGGATTTCGGAGCCGGACGAGGAGGAGGTGGAGGTGAAGTGCTACTGCTGCGGTTTGACGGAGGAGTGCACGCCGGCATACGTAGCGACGGTGAAGGAGAGGCACCAGGACCGGTGGATTTGCGGGCTCTGCGCTGAGGCGATCAAGGACGAGAACTCGAGGTCGTCGAGGAAGATCAGCACGGAGGAGGCGATGAAGCGGCACGTCAGCTTCTGCGAGGAGTTCCGGATGTCGAGTCCTCCGGCGAAGCCGACGGAATATCTTATATCCGCGATGAAGCAACTGTTGCGGCGGACTAAGGATTCGCAGAGGAGGGAGAGACTGGGTGGCTGCCGGCCGGGGATGGTGAGGTCAAAGAGCTGCTTTGCGACGGTGGGGAAGGCGCAGGGAGATTGATTGCCCGAGAAGCAAGATTAATGGAGTTTAGGAGTTGACTGAGAAACTAATAATGAGGATTAGTGATGAGATTAGTGGGATTGGTTCAACTGATACGGTAAGAATATTTTTTATTTTTTAGTTTTTGACTCGATTAATTAGATTTAAGTGGTTTTTGTTTTGATTAATGTTGTGGATTAGTTCTGATAATTGACAGACATTGAGATTGAGTAGGGACGGAGAGAGCAAGTTTTCCATTCGTATTCATTAATATTATCAAATCTACATGTACAACTTCTTTCTCCAAGTTCCTTTACATATATGTTATTTTCTTTTTTCACATTTTATAATTAGAGTATGTGCGTAAGTGCTTTTAAAATGATTGAAATAGTTTTTGATGTAAATGTTTGTGGAACAAAATTCTTAGTAAAAATACAAATGAACCCTAAAAAAGCACTTAAAATGTTTTTGGAAACAAAAAAAACATTTTATTTACAAACGTCTTTAATCATTTTAAAAACACTTTGTTTGTTTTTGGTAATTAAACTAGAATCACAAGATACAAGAGAGTGCATTGGAGTGTAAGTTCTGTGGCCAAGCAAAGTAAGTATTTTGGTCGGTTTTGTTACATGGTGATTTGAGGCTCTTGAGTCGATGGTTTGTATACAATTATGTACTTATTTCTCGTGTTTTCATTCAATTACTTTTTTATATCCAATGTTTGATTATAGGGATGAGTTATTCATATATATTTTTTTTACTTCTCATTCACCCTATTAATTTATGATCGTTGAATCGAAAGAGGTAAAAAATGTTAAACGATATAAATTAACAATGAATGTATAAGAAATAAAAATAAATGTATCGATAACATGTCCCTTGATTATAATAAGTCATGTGATGATAACGATATACGAACTGATGGTCATTGGGTACGAGTTAAGCATGGTCATCTGATGCCGGGTGGATTGGTGGTTGTACTCATGTAGGCTTGGAGCATTATTTTCCATAATAATATACAATTTTAAGACTAAAATAAATCCTAATGACACTCTTAGCGGGCCCCCAACCTTGATTTGTTGGAAGAAATCATCATTGAAATGGAAGGATAAACGATGGAGTGCTGTCCTTGTCTACGGCTTTGCTTAAGGTATTGTTTTTCATGATGGAAGATTTGGATAGTGGATATTCCTTGAAAATAATTGCATCGAACCAACCAAACTCGCATGTGCAAATCATAAAATCCTACCACACAATCGTATTGATTCTCCTCTAAAAAAACGAATTTAAATGATATTATTATAGTTAGTTCATTATAAAATTTAACTCGCATAAGATGCATAAGTATAATTGTTTTCTCTTGTCTATTATGACACGTTTATGCACCTGTAATCAGAATCAATTTACGGAATAGATTTTGATTACGGAATATATCTTTGTTTAAGTAATCTTAGAGAATCAAAATACATGTGGGATCCACACGCATTAAGGAATCCAACTCCTAATTTTGGAGGAATTGGACTCCCTACATGAGGGAGGTATTTCAATTCCTTGACACTTGAGGAATTTGGAATGAATTTCTCCTACCAATTATGTCCTCACTTGTTTCTGATTATCCCAACATTGCCCTTCATTTAACTCTCATTATGCCATCTTTTAATAAATAAATAAAACCTATTTACATATTTTTATTATATAAATTTAATTAATTAGTATGAAAATAATTTATTTATGTAAGGGCAATACAGTAATCAACCTAGTTTTCATTCCTATAGAAGTGAATTAGTAAACAAATTATATGGACTCAACATCATTTCTACTTCGATTCCAGATAGTTTTAGTAAACAACTCAAATAAGAATCTGATTCTGATTCTACCTTATTTTAATTCCTGATCAATTTAATTTGATTACGGATTAGTAAACTGGCATTTAGAGAGAGAGAGAGAGAGAGAGAGAGAGAGAGAGAGAGGATGAAATGAAACTACTTTGGGCCTTTGTTGGGGGTGTTCCGTAAAGTGTACTGTCTGCAGTACAGTCTTTAGCATCTTCGACCCTCGTACAGTCTTTTAGCATCTTCGACCCTCGTACTGCAATTTGGGTGTTTTTGCTTAGGGGAGAGAGAGAGAGAGAGAGAGAGAGAGAGAGAGAGAGAGAGGATGAAATGAAACTACTTTGGGCCCTTGTTTGGGGTGTTCCGTAAAGTGTACCGTCTGCAGTACAGTCTTTAAGCATCTTCGACCCTCGTACTGCAATTTGGGTTTTTTGCTTAGGACAAAATTGCCATCAAGCCCAAATCCATATCATAATTAATTAACTAATTCCAACCAAAATATTGCAATAAATGAAAAATGAAAAAACAAACAACAACCGGTCAAAATCATTCTCGCTGGGGGTTCGTTTTTAACCCATGTTTAGCGGGGCCCCACTGTTACAATGTATCGAGACACTAATCATGCGCAAAATAAAATAACGGACTCCAGATACCCACAGAGATAAAACCGTAAATAATAACAACTCCGAGGGTACATCCAACGCACGTTGGTACCAAACAATATAGTTGTACTACGCACCAAACGGATCGAAATTTCCATCCAATAATTTTTGTTTTTGTAAATTTCTTACCCATACGCCTCTCGCAAGTTTTCTTCTCCAAAATCCCCTTAAAATTCTGCTGCTCCTACTTTCTCTCTCTTAACTCTCTCGCTTTCTCTCTCTAGAAATCGCAGAAGATGATGCACATGACCTTCTACTGGAGCCGGCAGGTCACGCTCCTCTTTGACTCGTGGAAAACCAACACGTGGACGAGCTACTCCCTCACGCTGCTCGCCTGCCTCATCGTCCCGGCCTTCTACCAGTACCTCGAGAATCTGCGGGTGCGGATCAAGCGCGCAGCCTCCTCGTCTTCCCCGAAATCGGAGTCCGACTCGCCGATCCGGACCCCGCTGCTCGCCGCCAAGCTCGGCGGTGCCGGAGGAAGGTTCTCGGCGTGGCGGCTGGCGGAGAGCGTGCTTTTCGGAGTCAACTCGGCGATCGGGTACATGATTATGCTGGCGATCATGTCGTTTAACGGCGGAGTGTTCGTGGCCATCGTTGTGGGGCTGGCGATTGGTTACTTGGCGTTTCGGAGTGGGGACGATGACGTGGTGGGTGCGGTGGTGGAGACTGATAATCCGTGTGCGTGTGCTTAGAAAATTTTTGGGTGGATTTGGATTTTTTTAGATACGATTCGAAGGGATTAGCCATGTGTCTCTATCGACATGTAATTGTCTGATCTTGTATGATTGTGGTTGTTTGTAATTTATGCGTTGCTTTGTATTTAATGGTAAGTCGGCAGATCTGCTTTCATTTTGTTCATCTTTTTCTTTTCAAATTTGAATTTTCAGATCGGCTGTGCTGATGATGTTGGTGGCGACGCCGTCGTTCGGCGGGGCTGTGGTTTTGGCGCCGGCGGGTTTTGATCAGTTTTTCCGGGTTTTAGCGGGGGATGAAGACGTCGCGCTTAATTGTTGTTTTCGGCCTTCTGTTGTCGTTTCTGTTGTCGTTTGGTAATAGTGGGCCTGAAGCCCAAACAGAAACTAAGTCGTTAATAACACACGCAACCGGGGTTTATAGTACGTTTTCCGGAGAGATTTTTCGAAGTACCCAGTATTCAAACAGACACTCCACGTGTCACAATACAAGCAAATACTCCATGTGTTATAATACAAGCCAAGAAAGGATATGCCTTTTCATGTCCGTCCATATGTCATAATACAAGCGAAGGCTCAAGGTCAATCTTGAGCCTTCCTTGGATCAAGACTTCTCTCTACATAAGCGATACTCCACGTGTCAATAAGCGAAACTCCATGTGTCACAATACATGCAAATACACAAGCCAAGAAAGTTTGGGAACAACATTATGAAATTCCTAATAAGCGATCAAATCAGGACTTCTCTCTACACATAAAATGTACAAACTTGACAAAGCCACCTTTGCATAATCACAACTTCTACACCAAACCATCTCTAACCAACCCGTCTACCACAACAATTTCAATCAGTCTCAGTATGGAACAAGTAGAATTTGAAGATGTTAGTCACATCGGAATTACCGTGGAGAGGAGGAGCGCAATCGACTCTCTGCACTGATGTACTTCGCTCTGTTCGTTCCTCTTCCGTTCATCCATCCTCGGTTAAGTTAATGGGATAATGTCGAAAAAATGGGCGAGTCAAAATATGTCCAACTGGCTAGTGCTCATCTTCATTTGTCAGCGCCACTAGTTCACTCTCTTGCTGTTGGTTCCTAAACTTTGAACTGTTGGGGAACCATCTTTTAAGCCTGTCTGGCCAGAACCTAATGGTTTACAAACACAACCATTCACTTAAGTAAGAATAATGCATCCTAAACCCGATATCTAAAGCTCAACAATAGTGATCGCAATAAAATCCGATCTTAAGTATTGAGAGATTGATATTGGAAAAAAACACAAAGCAACTGTGGCTTACAAATCCAATCTTTCATATATTGCCCGTCGCACTGAGGAGTTCAAGCCATAGGCTATGGAGTTGAACAGGCCCTGTAACAAGTATAAAAGTAATAAATTTTCATCAGGATAATAAAAAAACTAATAAACTAGAACCCATTTAGATACGAACAATGTTCTTCGAAACATGAATTGACCATTGTACCAAAAAAAAAGAAACTAACTTGCCGTAGAAAATTAGTAAGTTACCATGAGTGCAGCTGTCCCAACATCAAGAACTGAGAGCCAAAATATTTTATGACTTGGTTCAATAAAGTCATGAATGCGGTTGATTGTGCTAAAAGCCCATGATCCTATCAGGATGAGCGGATAGTACCCCCACCGGTTCAAAGCCTGTTGAAAGCAATGGAATACAATTAAGATGAACAGTTGAAGGTACTCTTTTTTAAAGAGAAACTATTGAATGTACAGTTAAACAATCTAACGTACATGAAACATGAGACCGCTAAAACATCATAAATATAAAACTTCCACATTTCTGTGCCTATATATACGAACTCAGTCTGAGTCTGACCCCAGGAAACCAGTTGCAGCACAAAATACCTTCATTTCTGCTCTAGAATCTGATTGGTAAGTCCGATCTGACATGCCAGCTGCCATCTATAATTTCCAAACCAGAATAATGATCTCAACAAGTGTAAAAGTGAGTGGAAATTATTTGTTCGAAAAAAATAAATGCAAGCGAGAATACATACACGTCTCGCATTCTTCAGCATGCTTATCACTTGAAAATATGTAAAACCATTGTAAAGAATTGCACCCCAAAGTGGCATATAAAATGTTACAAGGTGAAGCGCCTGTAAAAATGGGTGGAAAAATTAGAGCACAGAGAAGAAAACTTAATTACATCACGAAGCTATAGTCAGAACTCCAAATGAGCGGATTGTGTAATAATGACTTGAGGTAGTTCTAAATTCTAATACAAATGATGCTTAGATTTGTAAAGATAAAACTTGTTTAGAATCTACAACACATATATCAAGAATTAATGAAATACAGCTATCAAAATTTAGAACTATGACATATTAAAACATTGATAAATCTTCATGATCAACTTAGTCTCCGTGTAGAGATTGCTGTTCATGCAGTTACACCATGAGTAGGGCATAGATTTTACTCCATTAACAATTTTACATTTTTAATCTAAAGTTATGGTATCTTGCCAACAAATCGATAAATACAGCATCGATGACAGCAGCTTCCACATTCCAAATTTTCTCCTAGACATCATAAAAAAATCTTCAATTCCCCTCTATTTTTCATAAAGCACGGTGCACTACAAAATAAGCACACGACCAACTTTTTTACAAAAGAATTCTAGAAATTCCAATGGCCTAGGAAACTAAAACATTTCAACTAATAGGTACTATGTCCTTACCTTTCCAGTACGCCCTGATTGTGACCAACACCATGTACCTAGGTGGCTATGGTTATTCCCAATAGAGCGCACAACTGTCACAACTAATGAAGTCCCTGTGAAGAGGAGAAAAAGAAGCAAATGAATTCTAATGAGCCTCACAAATTATACATAACGAAAACCAAATTTATCATATAGAAAATAACTCCTTTTTCTAAAACCATTATTCTATCTCTCATCGGAGGAACAGAAGAAGAAGCTAACTTTACATCACTAAAAGTAAAAAGAGAGATCTTTTGGCAACAGGTAAAAAGGTCATACCCCAAACATACAAATGAAACATTGCCTCCATATCTTCAACATCAGTTTTGTGTCTAACAACTGTGCGGTGGAGTGTAAAAGCGATCGTGGTAGTCCATAAGAAAGACGCTACATAGAAGAAATGAGTACTGTAGCCGTGCAAGTAACAGAAAAATCCTCTGGATGGATCCCTGCGCACGAAAGCAACTTACTTTATAATCGCTTAGAACCCGAATCAGATAAAATTGTGGCATTATCCAAATGCACTTGTCTGGGAGGGAAAAGTGAGCTTACCCAACCATGCTGAAGAAGCTACAAAGCATATCCTGCATTCCAAAATAACAATAGCAATAAAATTTCCAACCTTTTTTTTTACTCCCATTTTCTTCAAAATTTAAGTTAAACACTGAAGAACAACAAAGCCCTAAACCCTAATTTATCTTGAATCCTTCAAGCTCAAGTCATCAAGGTAAATCCACTATACAAAGCCAAGAGCTTCAAAATTTTCTAGCGCTTTTCAACTAAAAATTAAATCCAAAATTTTGTAGATTTTTGTTCAATTTCCGAGTTTTTACAAGTTTGCAGAAATAGAACCCACCCCGCCACCGGAAATCGAGCAATTAGATCTAACGACGCAATCAATTCTTATCATTTTTCAGCAAAGTTAAGAGAGAGAGAGAGAGAGAGAGAGAGGACGCACGGAGAGCGCGAGGTAGAAGACGAGCTTGAAGGAGAACTTGCGGAGCTCTTTGAAGAGGACGTAGCAGAGGACGATGAACCCCGACCCGACGAACGATAGGCTCGCCGCTCCGGCGTTAACTGCCGTCAAGACTTCGCGATCGTACGCCGTCAGACCTCCGGCGACTTGCCCCGTCTCCCCCATTTGATCGCGCCAATAGAGTCTCAAATACTCGTCCTCAGAGAAACTTCAAAACGCTCCGTACTGTGTTTTGGTCGCTTCTTGGGTCTGCTGCATTAATTCCGCGTGACAGACGAAGGAAATGACTTGTTTTTTACGTGTTTAATTACAAATTTAGACCCGTAATGATTTGTATCCAACATGATTCCCGTTGGCAAATCTGTCAATTTGAATTGTATTCTGTTCATGTTTGAGGCCCATTAAATTGTTTTTATAACGACTAAAAGTATTATATTAAAATAAAAATATTTTATAATATTGTTTGATAGAAAAAGTTATAGGCAGACAACATTTAACAAAAACGTGGTCCAATCCAACTAAAAAGCTCATGCATAATTATTTTTAATAATTTTGTTTGAATTGATTTTAGAAAGACTAAAACACTTTCTAATTGCGTTTCCAAAAAACTAAAAGCACTTACAAATTATAGAATTGCTTCTGGAAAAATTACTTTTCCATGAAAAACATCTATTAGATGCTTGTTAGGGAATCACTTGAAAGTTTAATAAACATTTTAACGAGTTTTTTTTCTTAAATATTTATAGAAAAAATATTTATGAGCAGAAGTATTTCTTATAATAAAATATATTCAAACGAACCCGAGATTTCACCATTTTAGACCTCTGAAAGGGAATATATACACTCAAACTTTGTTTGTCATCTCAACTGGTCGTTAACCAATTCTTCAATTTAGTTCTCAAAAGTATATTCCTGCCTTCTGAAGGAAACCCAAGATAATTTCTAACTAATGTTATAGTAAATACTAAAAAATATTGAAGTTAGGGTCCCACTTGGAGATGGACCGTTTTCAAGCAAGGAATTGTTTGGGGCAGTTGTTAAAATTCCTGATTAGGTTTCTGTCTATTCTCAATCAAGTGTTTTATTTCCTTAATCCAACCAGATGGATCATTAATTTAATTATAGTTTGTGAAAAAAAAAAATAGCATTTTTTTTTATAGCAAACCACAAACTAAAGTTTGACACATGTGCATAAATTTTTCAACGAGTTGACTTCATTGCGTATTTATGATAGTTTATTATTTGGAACGTGTCGTGTCAGTCGTGTTCGTGTCGTTTTCGTGTAACACCTGTTATCTTAACGGGTCGTGTCGTGTCACACCCGTTATGACCCGTTACGAAAAATTTTTTTTTTCTTAAATTTGCACATACCACACATTGTCACATCAATATTACTTCAAAACATTAAAACACATTTGTCGTTTAAGTACTACATCTACACTCGAAAATAAGAGCCTCATAAAAAATATATCTATACACTACTAATCTATTACAAATATTATGTGCAAGGATATGCAAAATGAAAGCGTTTTTGTTTTCAATGTTGTGAAGCCTTTCTCAAAAGTTTAAACATTACCAATGGAACTCAAAGCTTAATGAAAGTGACCCACTAGTGTGTTTATTCGTACTTTCATTAAGTATAACATAAGATTTTGTGATATCCACTTGTGTAAATATTTTAAATTGAAGATCGAATTCATTCATTGTATTCATATAGGGTCAAGGAGTGTAGTTGTAAAAAATCATCAAAATCGGAGTTAAAATGGCCGTTAAATTGTGATTTTTCGTTTATAACCGTCGAAAAGTTTTAATCCCTTTACTGTTTTTTTGCAATTTTGGCGTATGCGATCTCGAAGCATATACAAACAAGTATGGGTTAGAGATTTGAAGTCATAGTTCGTAGAAATGCGTATCTCCTAAAAAAAAATAAGCATCCACTACAATAAGATTTATCTTACTTTCATTAAGTATAGTAAAAATCTGATTTTTTTATACACAAATGTAAAAAAATTGTCCATTACTGATAGATATGGAAGGAGGTATGGAAAAATTCCTGAAATAGACCGACAAGATTTTTCCCGTCAAACATTTTGTCATTACTTGATATTTGAAGATTTGTGGGGAAAATTCTAACGAAGAAGACAAGCACGACGCGCGTAAATATTATGTATTGTGGATGGTGTTATTGAATCTAATTTGGATATTCTCTTGATTAATCTCCCGTTCTTCAGTTCCGTGGAGTTGATTTGGGCCAAATGGGCTTGATCAAGGAAACTTCAACGGGCCAGTGGAACTGGATTCCCAAAAGGGCTTTTGGCTTGATTCTTGAAGAACAGTGTGAACGGATCTTCCAAGGGCTTTGGTGGAAGGACGGTGGATTTGTGTCGACGTTTGTTGATCAAGGCCGATTGGGGCTTGATCTTGGATTGAGCGGAATGATGAACGATGGTGCACTTTCTTCAAGGCCGTCGAGGCTTGATATTGATTGGTGGATGTTGATCCAAGGGCCGTCGGGGCTTGACTGGAAGAACAGATGAACGAATAACACTTTCTTCAAAGGCGTCGGGGCTGAATCTTGAATTGGTGGATGATTGGATGTCCGGGCCGATGGGAGCTTTGGAAGAACGTGAACGAAGAACACTTTCTTCAAGGGTCGCGGGGCTTGAATTTGGAATAAATTAAACCAAGAACGAAGAAGCTTTCTGTATTCTTCCAAATGATTTGGAATGTAGAGAAGTTCGGTTTATTAGAGCTCAGAGCTTCAGGTGTATATGAATAGTCCACTCCACAGCCAAGGTGGTATATGCGCAAGGCTAATTTTATGAAATTCCATTAAGGAAGGTTCTGAGGTCTTGATCACGTTCCAGATTGATAAAGGGCCTCTGTGGGGAATTGTTTGACAACTGGGCTTGTTTGCTCTTATAAAGCGTTGCAACTTTGATTATCAATCTTAGGGCCTACAATTCACCTATTCATTGATGGTATAATTGACTCACAAGATGCATTTTGAAGTCATTTTGGCTTTGGTAGATTTTGGGACAAATTCAAGAATATTTTGGCTGTTGACGGGCTTTGCTTGACTTTCCACAGTTTGATTCTGCTAAGGTTATGTTGGATTTTCTGGATTTCCATTATTTATTTTTCCACGTTATTTCGTAAGAACTAGGCTTGAGGGTCTTGACACTTGGTGGAAATTTGTCAAGGGCCGTTGGGGGATTTCTTGAAGGTTGACTCGAACATATCGAACAAGCAGGACGAGGTGAAGGTGACGATATTTCTTTGTTCCATTTCTAATCACACATGAGCAGTTTGGTCAACGTTGATCTTCAAAGATTGATGAAACTCTTCGATATCTGGGATTGGCGCTTTAACAATATTGCCGTGTGAATTTCCGAAGCTGAATAAGCGTGGCGGGTGCATCGTCTGGAAAAGCAAGATGCTTCTCCGATTTCTGAGCGTGCCCTCTCTATTTTTTTGAAATCGGCATTTTTCGAAATCTGAGCTCACCTATTCGATCTCTGAATCCCGACGATGCTCGATTTTTTTTATAGAGGCACGCAGGTTCGTTTTCAAAAGCACATCTTGAAAATTTCGCTTGTAGAAACTCTTCTTGCAACTTCTAAAGGCTTTGATCATTGTTTCCGACTTCTTCTCTCAACACCTTTGATAAATGGCGGACCTCGATCCTACGTCCTCTGAACCGTTGGGAGTCGGTATGAAGAATACATATGACCGCTCGGTGATGGCCCGGACCTTGTACCCAAGATAACAGCCTACTTCCAGGCGGTCTGATGAGTTGGCTGTTAAGGAGTCTCTTGCTCTTAGTGTGCAAGTGTGTGCGGGTTTGCTCGAACCTCGGTCAAGGGAATTATGCTCGATACTTCTAACGGAATTTGTTAAGCGGCTTTAAAGCTTGTAAGAGTCTCAAGCCAGGGATATAGGGGCCAGCATATAAGGAATCTAGTTGTCTTTGCACAGCTCGAACAACATTTGCCTTAGATATGGGGGTTAACCCAGTAGGTGAGCTCTGATGATCAGTTTTTACTCTGATCTTCGGAGTCTTGTGGGTTTGAGGTTCAAAACAACACGCCTGTATCCTTATACTGCGTGGTGGAGCGCGAATGAACCTTCCGACTTCTGGAATTTGAATTTGGCTCATTTTCCGTCCAGCGTACAATCATTTGTTGAAATTTGCCGCAACCCGTGAGGCGGACAATTTCCTCTCGCCCTTTGGAATTTTTTTTTTTTTTTTTTTTTGGTAACGCTTTATGAAGATCCCCTATACTGGGTAAATCTTTTTTTTTTCTTTTTTTTTTTTGTATGTTTCCTTTCGCCTTTATACATAATGTTTTTATTTCACAACAAGACAAATTCATTTATTTCTACATGACTTTTTTTTTGTTCTTTTGTTTTTTTTTTTTTTCTTTTGTTTTTGTTAATTTTTCTTGCAAGGCATTTGTAAAGTTTTTTTTTTTAATTTTTGTCCTTTTCCGGTCGGGGCTTTAAAAACAACAAACTTATAGTGGCCCTAAACCTTTACCGCGGTCTTTATTTTTTATTTGTGGCATGTGCGAGTCAAAGAGACACCAGTGCAACAGACAATTTATATGGAAACTTTTTGCCGTCGCCGTGCGTTGGAACTAATGGGCAGAAGGGGAAGAGGGGAAGAGACAGCGACTACCGAGCTTTTGTGACGATGTTTTGCCTCGTGGCAAGCTGGAGTTTGTAAAGAACACGGAGGAGAACAAGAGATAAGGAAGAACGAAATGCTTTGTTCAAGCCTTATTTTGCGCGTTGCTGACATACCATGCGTTGCTAAGCAGGTACGCTTTGGACTTGAAAAGCTAGAAGGGAAAGGCTTTTGTCTGAGCTCCTTTTGACGCGGCAGACAATGACATGGTGCAATGGACACTTTTGCTATAGCAAGCAAGCACTCTGATCTTTTCAGCTTGCTCGGCGCTGGGATTGCCCTGGACTTGTGGCGGGTGCAGGTAAAACTACGGAGTCTGAGGCTAGATGAAAGGGTCCGTGAGTTGGGCCGAGTGATGAGATCTTTTTTCCACTTTCATTTCCATCATATAAAATCTTTTTCACGTACAAAGGAGATCTGAGCTGCCAGAGTAGCTAACTTGTGGGCATGAAACCTTTCCCACATACAATCAGGA